CAAGGGAAAACAGTCTTTGAAGAGGTTAACTACTACATTAATATTGGATCATACAGACACCACGGACACATTCAGACACAGCTTCTGCATCCCCATGAAGAAAAAGACATAGAAAAGGCTAAAAGTTGACTGGAAAGGCACAAGAGAACTTTTTGGAATGATGAAAATGTAATACATTGTGTCCTACAAGTGCATTCTAATGACAATTTTGATCAGCAAACTGAACATCCAAAATTTATTCATTTTACTGTAAATATTTAAAAATTTTAAAAAGCGAATATATAAAATTACAACTGAACAAAAAGTGCTGGGGCAGCAAAGGTGGGCACATGACTGGCAGGGCAAAAGTAGATACAGACACTATTACAAATGTTTTTGTATGATATGATCTAACTTGTCCCAGTTGATAGTGCTGGAAAGATTCTATGCATATTTAAGAGGTGAGCTTTCTTGGACTTACAAAAGTATAACTAAAAATACAGCAATAAACACTAGAGAAAGTTTTGCTTTCCTTTAAGAAATACAATCAGAAATCAGCTTAAGAATTGCATTTTAGATATGGAAAAGTCCAAAATACCTTTGAAATACCCCCCCAAAATGTCAAATGGTAAAATCAACACATTAATTTTATTAAGCATAGGAGACCAAAAAACCCAAATCACCACAACACCAGCTAAACTATAAAATTATATTTAAATATTTTATCAACTGATAGTTTTTCAATACACTTAATTAAGTCTCAGACAGAAAATATTCTGTATGATGCCAAAGAAAATTTCCTGGCCTCTCACTGGATTGTATGGGAAACACAGGATACTTTATGAAGAAATTTGTATTCTAAAAAATTTTTAAATTAGCCAAGATAAAAACCAATCGATTAAGAAAGATGGAATATTGGAAAATTTTTGTCAGTTTTGGAAAATAAAAATTTAAATTTAAATATATATATGTACACACACTCACATAAACTGACTTCCTACTAACAGTTCCACACCACTTGCAAAAAAATCATGATCACCTGGCTCCAAGATTATCTGAATAGAAGACTTAGGTATTAGAATATCATGTATGTTTATCAAGAGAAATCTAAAATCAGTTCTATTAAGTAGCTACTTGAAGGATTGGTATGCCACTCATTCTCCAATAAATGAAGGTTACTTATACAATGGATTGCCAATAGAACCAACACGTCTGTCCTAGGAAGTGTGAAACCAAGCTGCTCCTTGGAGGCAAGGATTGAGACTCTGTCTCACCTACTTTGGGCATGTGGCCAGGAAGGACCAATCTTTGGCTTGGAAGGGTCAAGGGACAGCACAGGAGAGGAAGATCCCAGATGAGATGGATTTGTACAATAAGTGAAGTAATTAATGAGGGCAGGTGTGTCAGAGATATTGGCTCAAGAAAGCAGGGTTCAGAGCTATTGTATAGGGATTTCCTGTGAGTCACAGTCGACTCGATGGCACATAAGAAACAGCTGGAAACATGTCAGCAAAGAAAATAGCAAATTTCTACTAAAATTAACAATAGAAAAGTGACAAGACCATACCCAACAAAAATAAAAAGTCTATACAATCCAGAGAAACAAAGCAGTACTGTCATGTTCTCAAACAAGTCTGTATGGAGAGGAGGCATGTGCAATTTTTAGTTACTTATTAGGAATCAGGAGTTTTACCTTTAAGGACTTGAAATCTTGTGCTCAGCAAAGATCAGTTCAACTGCATTTATTCAACTTTCACACTCAACATACTCTGAATTTAGGAAAATTGAAAGTTGCCAAAAAGGAAACAGAATGCAAAAATATCAATATTTTAGGCATTGTTTTTTACTACCTTCGCGTTGAGCACGACTCACAGCGACCCTAAGAACAAAAGGGCCTGAAGCCCCTCTACAACTATCAGCATTTATCAAAGTCCATAGAGTTTTCAAAGGCATGTTGTTTAGGAAGTGGTGAGCTGGAACTCAGGCAATCATACAGTTTATGATGCTAGGAAGGACCTTCAAGAACAATGGCATCACATTCACATCAAAAGTATTCACATGTGTGAAATGGATAAATAATCCTATGCCTACAAGGAAGAACAAATGAGAACAATTTCCCAAGATGAAAAAATTCAAGCCTCAAACTGCAATACTGAAAGATTTCTTGGGCAAAATACTGAATGAACAAGTATGAAGATTAAAGGACTACACTATTGAAGTCCTTGCATCAAAAAGAACTGACTCATGTGCAACCATTTCAGCATGTAACATATGATTAAGAACCAAGGATACTAAAGATAAGACTTCTAAGATGCAATGAAGGCAGTGGTGAGAAGTAAGGCTCCAGGAACTCGACAGAACACCAACAGAGATTGAGAAGTTTCACCAAACAGATGTAGTTCTGGGTAAAAGATGTCCAAGCTACACAAGAGGCATCACAGTAAGTAGAGAAACACTGTAAGTTGCCAAGGATTTTATTTTACTTAGATGCACAGCCAATGCACATGAAAGCAGCACTCATGAAATCAAACAACAAAGTGCACTGGGAAAATGTGCTGTCAAAGATCTCTTTAAAGTACTAAAGGGCAAGGATGTCACATTAAGGTCAAAAGCTCCAACGTATGGTACTTCGAATTGCCTCATATGCCTGTTGAACCTAACTTCTTTCACAGAGCAGCTCAAGCAAATGGTTGAAATTATAATATAAGAGCTGAATAGAAGATTTCAAAGGGTAACTCAAGAATACAAGGGAAAGCTGGATCATGTGCAAGGAAGACCAAAAAGAATTGATGGCTCTGAACTGTAACGTTAGCAAAGTATACTAATTATATCTTGTACTGCCAACAGTACAAGATAGATATATATATTACCTTTGAATAAGTACAAGAATAAAACTCTTTTAAATATAACGGTAATACAATTTGTCTCATACATTTTGAACATAAATAAGAAGTAGGGGCAATTTCTGGAGAAAGACATAATCCTTAGTAAAATGGAGAATCAGTGAAAGAGAGGAAGACCAACATAATGGACTGATACTATGCCTTCTGGAATAGGCTTAAAACACAAAACAGATTGTGAGAATAATTCATTATCAGGTCATTTCATTCTGTTGTACCAGAGTTGCTATAAATTGGAGGTTACTTAAAGGTACCTAACTACAACACATAAAAAATCAGTTTAAATAATGATTATTCACATTTGCGCACCAAGAGTGCAGCCTGAAACTTATCAAGCATACAGGCAAGAAGAATAATTACTGTTGATTGTAATGAAAAACTGGAAACACAGAAAGCGGCTTAGTAGTTGGGAGAAAACAATGGCCGAAATGGCATTACAGAATTTTTCAAGAATAGTAATTTATTCACTACATATCTCTATTGTTCAGTAACAAAAATAGTGACTACACATAAGGACACTGCTGATGAAATACAAAAAGAAAGAAAACTGACTACATATGTGGAAAGAGATGAGGGAGACGATCAGTTTCATCAGTCAGAACAAGGCTAGGAACTGACTGCAGAACAGAAATAAACATTTAAAAACAGTTGCAGTAGGTTTCAGATGGATCTTGGCTTGAGCATATAATACCCCATAAATGTCTATTTGTGTTCTATTGAGTATGCAAAGCCATCTGACAGTTGTAACAAATTATAGATGACATCAAAAACTACTACAAACGAGAAAGGTAGGCAATATCCTGCTGTTATTTACTGCCTCTGAAAACCCACTGAAGAGTCAAGTATGACCTGGCTTTGACTTGATGGTACACAACAACAATAAAGAATGCGGACTGCAGAATACTTACCTAATTATGCTCATGTAGAACCTATACAGAGATCAGGAGAGAGTCACCCCAAAGAATGAGGTGATATGTTTTAAAAGCAGAGAAGATGCAAATCAGGACTGTATTTTTAAACTATACTTATTCAATCTGTACTCCGAGTGAATAATCTGAGAAACTGGACTTATGAAGAATGTGGCATCAAGACTGAAGGAAGACTCATCATCAACCTGCAATATGCATGTGGCAAAGCCCTGCTTGCAGAAAGTAAGACCTGAAGCACTAACTGAAAAATATCAGAAACTACACCTATCAATATGTGTTATACCTCAACACCAAGAACTCAAATGGTATACTGCATTGGGTATCACCCTCAACATCAAGAACTCAAATGGGATACTGCATTGGGCTCATCAGCTGCAAAAGACCTCTTTATTATGTTAAGATGTCTCTTTAACCAAACCCGAGATATTTTTAATTACCTCAAATGGATGCCAAACTGCAAAATAAATAAGGGAAAAAAGATGCTCCTGAATTACTGTGCTTACATAGAATAATGAATACACTTTGACGTGCCCAAAGAAAGAACAAACGTGTCCTGCAGGAAGTACAGTAAAAGCAATGCTCCTTAGACTAAGGATGATCCATTTTTAGTTCATGTACTTTGGAAATGTTATCATAAAGATCAGTTTCTGGAGAAGGAAGGGTATCATGCTTAGTAAAGTTCAGCTCATTATGGAAATCAGTGTGTAAATCTTTTGCTAAGAATCTTCCTCTTTTTTGTTGACTCTCTAAGACAGCATTGACTGTGAAGATGGCACATGACCAGGTTTCATTTGTTATGCCCAGGGCTGCACGAATAGGAACTGACTGAATGGTACCTAACAATAACATGTTCAACATGACCCTAAAGACCCAGAGAATAATATGTCCCAAAAGGGAAAGAAGAACTATTGGTACATCAACTACCATAAGTCAACTGTAAAGCAAATGATTTAAAAAAATTTTTTTTTTTAATTTCCTACTGGGTAGAAAGACATAATAATACAGTATTTATTGGGATTTTCTTACCCTTCAAGAAAATCCTTTTATTTGTGTAAAAAAGCACATTTTTGTTTTCTTTGGCTCATATTATGTAAAAAAAATAAATATAAATCTAAAACCTGGAGGCAGGCACCTGTCACATGGCCAACCACAAACTGTTGTTGACCTCATACAACTTCATTAGAAGACATACCTTTTCTTCCAATTTCTTCTTCTCTTCACTAGATTGGGTTATTCTTTGCTTGAGAAACTCATTCAGCTGTAAAACCTCTTTCTCAGCAGATGCAAGCTTTTGTTCAAGTTCCTCCTGCTGGGACCTGGGTACAGCTTGTTCTGAAAATGGAGCTTGAAGTGAAGTGTTCTCATACTGTGGCTATTAGAATAGGGGGGGAAAGTAGACGAGACTCAAAAAAATTGCCTTAAACACATGGAAAGAATTTGAAAGTGAGGTACAAATGCAAAGACAACATATAGTCTTTGCAGCAACAAACAGACCAACCTTGTTTGAATATGCTACTTTTCCTACTTACTAGTTCTATGACTATGATTAAATAAAATTACTTATAATCATTAGGCCTCCATTCTCACATATAAAATAGAAATAAGGCATATCTTATTTTGATAAAACATGTAATGTTTCCTAGGACAAAACAATAGAAAGTTAATAAATTACAACTGTTATTTGATTAAAACAATTAGAAATGTAGACTGTGTATTATATACCATTCAAAGGAGCATTGATGGTACAATCATTAAGTGCCTGTCTGCTAAAAGAAAGGTGAATGGTTTGAACCCACCAGCTGCTCCATGAGTGGAAAGACTTGGTCTGTTTCCATAAAAATTTTAGCCTAGAAAACTCTGTGCAACAGTTCTACTTTGTTCTTTAGGGTATCTAAAAGTCCAATCAAATCACTGGCACACAGCCAGAACAAAAAGAATCAAATTCATTGCTACTAATTTAAAGCATAACAACCCTGGAGGACAAAGTAACAGTGACAATAAGATCTCCAAGGCCTGCTCTTCACAGAAGAAGACTGTCTCTTTTCTCCCAAGGAATAGCTGTCAGGTTTGAAATGCTGACCTCTGGGTTACCAGCTGACCACTCTAACCACTACACCACTCACGTCTACTAACAACAACAATATGTACATACAGAAGTAAACCTCTAGTGAGGGGAAAACAAACAAATATGTTATGGAGAGGGTGCAGCCAAAATGTTCTTTAGAGACAAGGATGATGAGGCTTAGCCTCACATTCTTTGGGCATGTTGCTAGGAAGGCCTATTCCTTGGAAAAGGACATGACACTTGGAAGAATGGAGGAGGGGCAGCAAAGGAGAGAAAGACCTTCACCAGGTGGAATGACACGGGGACTGCTACAATGGGTTCTAGTGTGTGAGAAATGTGAAGATGGCACAGGATAGGACAGAGTTTGGATCTTGTTGTTCATAGGGTTGATATTTATGAGTCTTAATTGACTTGACAGCACCTAACAAACTAGTCAGTTTAAAAAAAAAAACATCACCTCACATAAAAACCAATGGGATTTCAAAACTATGACATTATTCTCTTATTTATAAATCATGATAAGCAAATATGTACCACAGAAATTTTTGTAATAATAAACTATGTTGTTGTTGTTAAGTGCCGTCGAGTCGACTCATAGTGACCCTATGAAGGAGAGTCCTCAATGCTTGGGTGTCTTTCATTCTCTCCCCAGGTTCATAGAGTTTCCGGAGGCAAGCTATTACAGAAGCGGAGGCCACTCCTTCCAAGTTTGTTTTAATTGGGAAGCTCCACCCCACTCGGTCCACATTGGGTAACCAACCATTAGCGCATTTGACACATCAGTGTCCAGCCTCACAGCAACCACAAGTTACGGCTGTATGGCAAGTGGATAAACCAGGGATATAAGACCTAGAGGAATGTTTGAACGTGGCCCTTGGGCCCTTCAGTATCTTACCATCATAGCACGCTCAAATGCTGGCAAACTCTGGGCCACAGACCCCCAGTTCATCTGGCAAGTTTGCTTTGCCAACCCCCACGTGGGGCAAAAAGAACACCACAAGTGGTGATAATAAACGTTGTTGTTGTTATGTGCCGTAGAGTCACTTGCGACTCATATAGCAACCCTATGTACAACAGCCCTAAACTCTGCTCTGTCCTGTGCCAATCGCACTGTCTCTGACATTCCCATCCTGATTAACCCAGTCACTGAATCAATCCACCTCATAGAGGGCCTTCCCCTCCTGCACTGTCCCTCCACCCTCCCAAGCATGATGTCCTTCTCCAAGGACGGGTCTCTCCTTACAACATGTCCAAAGTATGTTAGACGGAGCCTCAGAATCCTTGCCTCCAAGGAGCCAACTGTGGCTGACTCTGAGAAAAATGGGAATCCCAGAACACGTGCTCGTTCTAATGAAAAACCTATACTTGGACCAGGAAAATAAACTATAGACAAAGTATAATCAATCAGATGTTTGAAGACTGTTTAATTCCTAATTTCAACAAGATCTTTTTAAGGAATTAGCACTCTTTGAGTGATAAAACCATTCCTCCTCTCTAGAAAAACACTTTCTTTTATTCCTATGATAATTTTCCTGATTTTTTTTTTCACGAGTTTTCTACAACTTTCTCAAATAATGTTCCCTGCTCTCATATTCTTCTCACTAGATGCACCTCATATACCTGGAACACCTCATAAAGTCTAGAAGTTGGAACAACCCCTTACATAAACTGAAGACTTTTTTATGGTCTAGACCCATCAGGCTCATATTTCATTATTTTTCTTTTCTCTAAAATCGTTCTCTATTCTTGTCAATGATGCTGTAAACACTTGACCCCATATAAAAGTGGAAAATCGTCTTCTCACTCACATTAAGTCACCACATCTAGTCCACTTTTCTTGGCACCAGCAGTCAGGAAATCAAAAAGCGTATCGCGATGGGAAAGTCTGCTGTTAGGGACCTCTCTAAAGTACTCAGGAGCAACAGTGTCTCTCTGGAGACTAAGGTGCGCCTGATACAGGCCATGGCATTTGCAATCGCTTATTATGCATCAGAGAGTTGGACAATGACTAGGGAGGACAGAAGGAGAGTTGATGCCTTTGAGCTGTGGTGCTGGAGAAGGGTATTGAATGTACCATGGACTGCCAGGAAAACAAACAGATTCATCTTGGAGAGGATTAAACCAAGCTACTCCTTGGAGGCAAGGATTCTGGGGCTTCGTCTGACATACTTTGGACATGTTGCCAGGAGGGACGGGTCCTTGGAGAGGGACATCATGGTTGGGAGGGTGGAGGGACAGCGCAGGAGGGGAAGACCCTCTATGAGATGGATTGATTCGGTGACTGGGGTAATCGGGATGGATGTGTCAGAGGCGGTGCGGTTGGTGCAGGATAGAGCAGGGTTTAGGGCCGTTGTGCAAGGGGTCGCTATGAGTCGCAAACGACTCGACAGCACATAACAACAACAACAACAACAAAAAATTATCTTCTCACAAACTACTGTTCTGTCATTGAGGTTCTCCCTTACCTTCTGATAAAAGTCTCTTGACTATCACTGCCTCTAATACTGTCATTCTAGAGTCCTTACTGTGCCATCAATTACTTATTTCATCTTCTCATCTCTTGGCAGCAATTTAGCCACACTTTGCATTTCATCCTCCGATTTCTAACTTTGGTGTCTGTTGTTATGAGCCGTCAAGTCAGAATCAACTCATACCTGACCCTCCAGTGGGTTCTCAGGGGCTGTAAATTGCATGACAGGATACTGTCTATTGTTCTCCCACAAAGCAGCTAGTGGTTTCATAAAGGCCTTTGGGTTTACAGTAGCACAATCACTTACCAGAATACTGGTGTAGTGCATTCTGTATTGGCCTACTAACTGGAAGGCTAATGGTTCAACTCCACTAGCTGTTTGGCAGGAGAAAAATTAGCCAGACTACTCATACCAAGACTTAAAACCTCAGAAATATGACAGTCTACTCTATATGAATGAGAATCAACTCTACAACAGTAGGTATCGTATTTTGGTTTACTTTTCTTATTCCTCTGTTGCTTCAAGTCATCCTTTCAAAGTCCATTTGTAAACTTTCAAGATCTCAAGAACTACACAAAGTAGTAAAAGGTAGAACAGTAATACTAAGCATGATCTTAGGCCAATTAAGTGGGAAATTCGATGATGCCACAACCCCAAACAAAGGAACCAAATTACAGGAGTAGTTTGGTTCACATAAGCAGCCTCAGCAGCTGCTTTTTTTAAATAAATTAAACTACTCTATCACAAATTCCAACTTTTAAAGATTATATAACAATTATAGAAATTGTCAGTGCAACCCTTACCTATATATGTAATCTTTCCATTACCACTAATTTAGAATTCCATAAGAATTTCCCCCTCAACCACCTGCCCATTTGACCCTGAAAATCACTAATGATTTTTCTGGTCTCAATATTCTTGCATTTTTATCTTTTTAAGTAAATGAGGTCATACAAAAATTGTCCTTTTGTGATTAATTCCTTCACTTAGCTTTAAGCTATCAAATTCTATCCATGTATTGTTGTTGCTGTTGTTGTTATGTGCCGTCGAGTCGTTTTCAACTCATAGCGACCCTATGCACAACAGCCCTAAACCCTGCTCTATCCTGCGCCAACCGCACTGCCTCCGACACACCCATCCCGATTACCCCAGTCACCGAATCAATCCATCTCATAGAGGGTCTTCCCTTCCTGCGCTGTCCCTCCACCCTCCCAAGCATGATGTCCCTCTCCAAGGACCTGTCCCTCCTGGCAACATGTCCAAATTATGTCAGACGAAGCCCGAGAATCCTTGCCTCCAAGGAGCAGCCTGGTTTAATCCTCTCCAAGATGAATCTGTTTGTTTTCCTGGCAGTCCATGGTACATTCAGTACTCTTCTCCAGCACCACAACTCAAAAGCATCCACTCTCCTTCTGTCCTCCCTAGTCATTGTCCAACTCTCTGAGGAATAACAAGCGATTGCAAATGCCATGGCCTGTATCAGGCGCACCTTAGTCTCCAGAGAGACACCGTTGTTCCTGAGTACTTTAGAGAGGTCCCTAACAGCAGACTTTCCCATCGTGATACGCTTTTTGATTTCCTGACTGCTGGTGCCAAGAGTGTTGACTGTGGAGCCGAGAAAACTGAAGCTGTGAACAATCTCAATCTCTTCGCCATCCATCCTGACGCTGTCAATTGGTCCAGTGGTGAGAATCTTTGTCTTCTTGACATTGAGCCTGAGTCCATACTGAAGGCTACAGTCCCTGACCCTTCACAGCAAGTGCATGAGGTCCTCCTCAGTTTCAGCAAGCAGGGTTGTGTCATCTGCATAACGCAGATTGATAACAGATCTTCCAC